TTTAAAAAGTACATTCACACACATGCGCACATCCATACGCTGAATTTATTACAAGGAAAAGCCATTCAGACTTGCCTTTTTTCCCATTATTAGGTAAGCTTGATGTTTCTTCCCCATTGTCTTTAACATTGAAACCAGATAATAATAATTAGTAATTAAGATCATCGACAATACAAATAAAAAGCAAGCACTCCAAAAAGAATAAAACATGCACTGGAAAAATAACTGCATGCATTTAACATGACACCGCACACTGCACACACAGAATAAAGCAGATGCAGTATAGGCTCCCTAGTCTACAGCACAAGGAGCCAAAGCTACCATGAAAAAACCCATTTTGTATTATTGTTATGTGCTAGATAGTTCTGCTTTGTTTTGCTATGATAACAGTGATGTAATTTACTAATTACTTAAGAATAAGCCACAGGTAAGAAACTGGTTTTAAAAATGTTAAGGGACAAAACAAAAGAGATATTGATATTGCAGAAATCTTCAAGTTACTGCTATCATTAAAATTACAATAAAGGCCAGTTTATAAAATGTGAAAGACTCAGAACATGAGTGCATTAATATGAGATCTAATAGGATAGGAAGACAGAAACATTAGCTCTTCAAATAAATGAAAATGGAAATTATTCTATTGCCCTACAGTTCAGTAAAATTTAACTCTACATCAGCCAGGAAATGAAAGGCATTTGGAATTCAAGACTGAGACTATTTGATATTCAGAATGGGATATAAGTATATATTTCTATAACCAAGCAACTAAAACCAACGCCTTTGTTTCTATTATTAGATACATGTTGATAATTTCTCCACTTGATAAATTAGAACATTACTGACATCATGTCTTTTTGTTTTAAAAGCTACAAATTCGTTCAGAGAACGTCTTCATGAAAATAAATCTTGGGTAAATACACACAAGGGCATTGTTTTCTTACAACGGTGAAAAGACGGGGACAGGAACAACCTAACTTTAAAACTCACACATAAATTCATATAGTGAGAGAAGAGAAAAATTCATTAAAGACTTAACAAAAGTAGGTTTAAAGTTATTCTGCCAATTTCACAGAAAGTTAAAATCCAAGACATCAACTTAGAGAAGATCAGCATCCCATTCTGAGTTTTAAATAAATAGAGTGACAATTCAATAAAATTAGACAAATGTGTTTGTGAATATATAATATTTTCCTCTGACAGACTCTGACATCCATTATACTGTGATTACAAAACTGAAGACCCCAAACCCACACACCCTCCAGGGAGCAGCTGCCATAGAGAGGAATGGCTGCTAGACCGGGCATGACAATACCTGGCTGGGACAGAAAAGAAAAATCCAGAGGAAGGGATCTTATCTAGGGGCGAAACAGTGGGAAAGTGACCATAGTCTGTGAAATGTTAAAGAAATTCAGAGCCTTCATTCCAAATGTCCTTACATTTGCCTCTCCTACATTCCCCTTAGTCAGGAAAGTAGAGTTTCCCTTCTTCAGGGAAGCATAAAGGAAACAGCTCTCTAGGAACGAGGTGACCACAATGATTTATTAAGAGGTAAAGAAGCGACCAAAATGTGAAGCAAAAACTGAGGTAAATAATGTATATATTTAGGCCAAAGATATTGTTTATGATTCTAGTATATTTGGATCTTTAAAGAGACTATTCAAACAATTGGCCAAATTACTCTGAAGCTGAGAAGACAGTCCTAGAGTATTTCTTATGAAATTATGAAATTTGACATTAACTTATTTAGAAGACACACAGACACACCTGCCTTGACCTCTTCTCCCTCCTTTTCTACCCCCTCTTCTTCCACATGCCCAATTTCTTCGTTAACTTCTGTATTTGCCAAAGTGAAAGAAAAAGACAAGACCAGGGGTCTGGTTGTTAGTTTAAAATATTAACAAATTATTTTTCATAAAAAGTGGGTATTTATAACAAGAAAAGCACGTGATATATTGCATTCAGACATGTCTTTGAAAGCAACTCTGTCTACCAATAATGAAACAACACAGTCACAGTGGTCCTGACTTGGGAAACAAACCGTTATCCCCTAGAAGATTTGCAATATGTGAGTGGCTAAGGAAGGCTACCTCTATAGTAAGCATATTATTAGAAAATATTACATACATTTGCTTCTAGGGAGAAAACCATAACATTATAAACTCCTCTTCCTTTCTTTTTTTAAAATTTGGTTTTGTGAGACAGGGTTTCTCTGTGTAGCTCCTGGCTGTCCTGGAACTCACTCTGTAGACCAGACTGGCCTTGAACTCACAGGGATACACTTGCCTCTACATCCCACCTGACCTGTAGAAACCCCATTTTTTACAAAATGGCAATAGAGTCAAGTAAAGATTTGAGAAGGTAATAACCATAATGCTTTACATTGTGGAATACATCACACTTTCTATAGCATTCTCATTTTACACATCTTTAGTAAAGAGTTTGAAAAACATCAACCTCAATACCAAAATATATATTTTTGATGAATTTAGTTACTAGACAACATACTTAAACCATAGTTAGATTAGAGTTTTTTGTTAGTTGCTGAAGGTAGAAATACTTCAATATGTTTAAACTAGAAACGTCATTAAAGACAAGATCTAATAAGCATTTAGAAGGTCAGAACCTTGGACTATCAACTGATCGTCTACTTCGGGCGGCCACACCCTCAGCTTTAGGTACAAGTTGGACACCCACAGAGGAGGGATTCACTGTGTCCTTTAAAACTGACAGAGGCACAGGCTCATGGGTTTCTGAAGCCTCAGCATGAACATGTCTGAAAATGCTGCTAAACACCAGCCAGTACCATTAAGTAATACAAAAAATGAAATAAAAACCAGAAAGTCATAATTAGAGATATTAATGGAAATTGCTGATGATATTTTAGTGATTTTAATGTATTCTACCTGAAAAACCAAACCAGTATAGACAACATCCATACAAGTCTTTGAATCTTTCAGCCTACATTTCCCTCCACCAGTCAGGCTGGCTTTCTCCATACTCAGCAGAGCACCGAATGAAGCGATCCAGACTTCAAGAGACTTTCGCTATAAAAGATTCTAAAACGGAAGCTTTAACACTTTTGAGGGGACAAGAATTGCACACTATTGAACTTTTCTAATGAAAAACAGTTTGAAAGCACAAGCTTTTAGTCTTATGTAAACATCCAAGCGTTACGGCAACGCCACAGATGTCTTTCTATCGGGCTGACCGCAAGTGTCAGCCACAATCACACTGCGCTGTGGAGGATCACGGCCGGTGAGAACAGAAGCAACCACAGAGACTGATACTGATAGCCACTGAGTCACAGCCAACAAAAGAATGACTTACATTAGAGAGACAGAGATAGATTTGCTGCTCGGTGCAATCCATGTATAAGTTAGTTGTAAATGTGTCACATGTGGACATAAAGATGCCCATAAACATACACTTCAAGTTCTCAGCGGCAATCCAGATACCATTTGAGGTACCATTTCACTTTCTAAGACTGTCTTTCATTTTCAACTCAAAAAATATTTGTTCCAGTCAAGCATCATTCTATGTGCTGGAGACTCAGCAGTAAAAAATATAGCCAGCAGTTTCAAAATTCTAAAACTATCAGATTTTATTGTACTAGCAAATGTATGGCAGAATTTCTTCTTGAGATATGATGCAGTGTTTGGTAATAAATGCATAAAAGCGTCATATTCATCCTTGATACACTCTAAGCAGACTTGCTACAACATGTAACAGAAAATACAAGCCACAACCACTACCTAACTCAATAGCTTCTTTTGTAGGAAGTCAAAGTTAATAATAAAAAGATCATCAGAAATCCAAAATGAAAGATAAAATGATAACTATAGCAAGACGCTGTCTGTGCCCTCGGTGGCATAAACACACACTGCAATTGATATCCTTGCTTATAGTCGCATTCAAAATCCAGAATTTTGTTCCAAAGGTAAATTAAATGTTTTATAAGAACAAATATTATCTACTTAAAAAAATAAACTCTTTGCACTCCTGCATGAATCAAAATTTAGTTCCAAGGTATTTTTTTCACAGAAAATAAAATCTCAGTACTTTATTAGAAACTAGAAATGAAATAATTTAATTGTAAAAAAACTATGTAAGTGAAGAGACATCAATTGCAGTTCGGTTTATATTTGTCTGCACAGCCCCCCATAGGTTTTTAGCACAAAACAAACCCTTTATGTACAGACCTTCATAAGGGCCTATCTCCTTGACTCCATTGTCTAGGGAAACAAAATAAAATGAAAACAAAAGGGGTGGGGGGTGGGGATGGGGAACCAAAGCATAGGTGTTAAAAACAACAGAAAATGTCAAAGTTCTAGAATATATTGTCTATTAAAGAAAACTTAAATGGTGATTTGAGTATATATAGCTTTGAAAGACAGTTACTAAAAGGAGAAACTGTGCTATAAAAGATGTGGAAATTATTCGGCTCCATTATCAGTGTTTTCAGAGTGAACCAAATCAAGATGTATAGCTGCCTGAGAAGTGCTCAAGTGTGTCGGCTTGGCACTAGCACACTTACAACCAAAAACATCAGTAGAACACGCACCTTTGAGTGTGCATTCTGGTTCCCTGAGGCTTACACTCCGCTTTCGAGAAGGATCACCATTGTTGTGCACCAGCTAACCAGTCCTTTGCAGTGTGTGAAAACTGATTTAGCTAGTTACTAATAAACTGCATAATCCCCAACGATTACATAATCCAAGATGTAGCAAAGACATTATAATCCAGCTGCTTCCATAAAACTATTGCTAACTTTTAAATATACTTTCGAATTTGAAATGTTAAACAAGATTGCTTCTTTTTATCTCCAAGTAAAACTTTTACATGCAATGTATATTATATTCACAGATATAACTACTGTCAAATGAAGTCACACATACAGCTAAATACAGGACGACATTAGCACAATGGGAGGAGGGAACCACGGTTTACCCCAGCTCCCATGTGTATCTCCTAATGGCATAATGAGAAAACTAAGAACTTACTTCTCTCCAGCGTTCCCTTGGGTGGGAGCTGTGGCAGCTGCCGGCCCCTCCGTCCTGTTCCGGGAGTGCTGGATGGGCTTGTCTGGACAGAGCCGGTCCGAGGGTGAGACCTACAAGATGCAGCATCAGGACATTTTCAGCAAGCGCTAAGTAAATTCGGTGTTAGCTGGTTTACGTAATAGCTGTATTAGTGGGGCTTTTAAACGTGGATTGCTGCTGTTTAGAAGGAGAACAGGACAAAGTATGGACATTTGAACAGTTACTTAAACACCAAAAAATGTTTATGTTTTGGTGTAATATGCATACATACACACATACATGCACACAGAGGTTGCAGTAAAACCCATGAAATTAGTGATAAAGACTCCTAGTCTATTTATGTGAAAGCAAGTAGAAAATTCTACAAGTTAAAAAATAAAATTTTATATTTTTTCTACCATAATACAAATTCTTAAAACTAACCTGCCTCCTTTGATCCAATCAGATTTTTACTTAAGTTTACACTAAATATTTGTTTTTATTAGAAAACATCTCATAAATCTACCCCCAAAAAAATCCTGAGCAACTTAAAACTCAGCTAAAGAAAATTCTGATATCTAATAGTAATGTTTATAGGAACTAATTATATCTAATATTATTTACTGTCATAATGATTATTAGAAAGGTCATGCCTAATGAGCACAGTCATTTCTCATTTTGTGGAAGAACATGACAGTTATGACAGGATTTACCCAGGACTCCTGATTAATGAGAAACCACAGAACAAATGCAGTCCGGACAGTTGAGAAACAAACCACAATGGTGATGACACTATCATATCCGCCGGATATAAATAGTGTGTGCGCACTGACAAGGTTAGTATCGACTTAGACTGGTGACCAGCCAGAAATGACAGAGACCATTTAGCTGTCGGGAAAATAAAATGGTGTGTTGGCAGAGCAGACAGGGAAGTTAGTCTGATCGATTTATCTTTCACCTCGATAAGGCAGGTGAAGGAGGGGCAGATCTTCCAGTCATTAATGAAGGCATCGACCTCATGAGGTTTGTATCAGGACGTTCAGAGGATCTGGAGCGGGTGGTGGTCCGCTCTAGCAGAGGCCGCTGTTCTGTTGATCTGGATCTGTGATATGGCTGTCTATCTGCTGCTTCACAATCCCTGAAACGTTAGTCAAAAAGCAGCTCAGTTGATCTTTAATGCCTTTCTGCTATTTGGTCATGATGCATCAAACTGATTTTGAAAAAAAAAAAAGAATTGCTTAAAATTAATGTGTATTCAAAAAAAGAATTTTTCACAACACATCCTGAAAATTCTGACTAAGCTTAAGAAGCTCTAAAGAACCCGAGTCTGATTTTACTAGCAATTACCAGCAGCTGAATTAGAACTGAGCTGCTCAAAATGGTTATAACCACTGCAACCCCAGCTACCTGCTTTCCAAAATGAAGAGAACATGTGAACTGTGTGGGGTAGGGTATCCTAGATTAAAGACATTCGACAGTGATTCCTCGCACTTTGCAGAAGAGAAAGTTATGCAGGATGTTTATCAGCAAATGGAACAAACGCATTAACAGCACGGTCACAGCACGCTGACAGCCTGGCGATTTTGGCAGAAGTATGGGAAGGAGGTCACGGGCAATCACTGCAGAGAACTGGCGACCCCCCATCCGTCTCGGGGCACTTCAGTTAGATCAAACAGCTCAGATAGCTATTGGATCAAACTGGAATTCCAACATAAATATAAAAATCAGACCTCTGACCACTAAAACTCAACTTTTGTTGAAGCAAGAATACTTACACCTATATGGCCCAAAATGACTGACACATCTCTTGGTGTCTACTATAATGTTTAGACATCATAATGAGATCCATAATGAGATTAATAAGCGGATATAATTCGGTTCTATGACTTGGAAGACAAATCTAAAACCATGAACTTTTGCTCTAGAACTCAAAAGAAGCATATGGACCCAAATCTATTTCAAACAGCCACCTCCTGAGCCAATTACAACCACAGAAAATGAAATCTCTACCTACGGCAGGGAGAGGAAGCAAGGTCGCCAACTTTACCAGAAATACGCTCCGATGTTTGAAAATGAAAGAACGGGCATGCTCAGCTTAGAGGACAGTGTCATGATCAAAAATGTCATAATAGCCGAGATCAAATATAAATTTGATTACAATTAAAAAGATGAATTAAATGGAATTAGAATATAAAATTCATAATTCTATACTTCTGAAATTCTATTTTAGAGGAAACACTCTTTTTGGAAATAAATGTGGTCAATAACTTGTGACCCGTGACTTAGTGCAAGGCCTCTGGCGTGCCCCCATTGCAGCAGGTCAGGAAAAACAAGAGGTTCACAACTAGCTTTCGCTGTATTTCTCACATCCCTAAAAACCTGCACTTTGACGAATAGCAAACTTACATTTGTTTCAAAGACTAATTGTGATCTTAGGGTAATGATAAACTTTTCTCTCACATGGCAGTTGATGGCAAAACTTAGTCAAGTGTCTGTAGTGATCGGACAGGAGACTGCCACCCGCTCACTGTCGGAAAGCTCGGCTCTTCGCAACTAACCAAGCATTTTCTCAAGTGTGTGTGTGTGTGTGTGTGTGTGTGTGTGTGTGTGTGTGTGTGTGAAAAGGTACCATTTATAGAACAAATATCCCCACCTTAGAAAAAAATTCCCCATAAAGATTTTCCTTTCCTTAGTGAAAATGTTTTGATAATTATATGGAATTTTTATCTTTTTGTAGACATCTTTATTACCACAAATAATAGAAATATAATCAAAACACACTGAGTGAACATAGGCTAACACGTGAAAGATGAAAAAGACCACAGCAGAGTTTTCCTGATAACTGCTGTCACAGTAATCAGACTTTACATTGTGAAGCATACAAGGTCAAGCTATACTTCCTGTGCCCACCATCAGCAAAGAATAGAAGCAGTCAGTTAAGGCTTGGGGTTAAAAGTCACAGTAGCACTTGGAGAAGGCCATGGTCCCACACGGATCACCCCAGTGCAGACATAAGAAAGCCCAGCATCTCTGGCTACATTGAAGTAGGCCTTCATTTATGACAAGAATGCATGCATAATCTCAACAGCAACAACTGAAAGTAAGGGACAGTAGTAAGTGTTTGTAAGATTTAACATGCTTCCGTGTTTAATTGGAGTTCTCAAGCTGTGGATTGTACTCCAATAGAAGCATTTTTCCTATTAATCCTAATTTGTTTACTGCATTTTATTATAGACATAAAAACATTGCTTTAAGAAGGGTAGCAACTGCTTTATCAAAAGTACACCACATCAACAAGAAAACTTCATTTGTCAATTTAAATCTTTAGGGAATAATTCCACTGTACTTTAAAAAGAGATTTAATAATCCATTCCAGTTCCAGTTTTGAGTATTTTAAATTTTTAATCAATGTTTAAAATAGTTCCTACTTTTGATTTGTAACTTTCTGGACTGCTTCAATATGCAGAGGGGGGTGCTGGAAACTGGCTGCATTTAAGAGGAAACTGCCTAACAACCCCTCAGTTCCCTGACACTGAGTTCCAGGACCATACAAGGAGCCCCCACGGCAGTCAGCTAGCATATGCTGACTGAGACACGAATTAGAGATAGCCCAGGACAAGAAAGCAAGAATTTACACATACGAGTAACACTATCCAGGCTGAGTAGGTGGTGTTTATATATTTAGGAATATATGCATATATATAAAATTATGTTTAATAGAAAAAGCAAGAGGTGCATGGAAATAGTTCAAGAAAGGAAAGGGAATGGCGAATTGATACAATTATGTTCTAATTTCAAAACGTTAAAAGAGAAAGCAAACAATTCACATAATCAAAAAATGAAAGCACATTAAGTTTTAGTATTTCTTCAAGAATTTTTAAGGGGAAAATTCAGGACATTTAGTGAAACTAAATTAAGTCTTGAAACATTTTCTATGTACAAGTGGTTCTTCAGGACCCCGAGAGGTTGGTCCACTCACTGAGACAGTGTGCCTGAGCTAATGGGAGCTCACCAACTCCAGCTGGATTGGGACTGAATGAGCATGGGATCAAACTGAACTCTCTGAATGTGGCTGACAAATGGGGCTGACTGAGAAGCCAATGATAATGACACTGAGACTTACCTCTACTGCATGTACTGTTTTTTTGGATCCTATTCTATTTGGATGCACAGCTTCCTAAGCCTGGATGTAGGGGGGAGGGCCTTGGACTTCCCACAGGGCAGGGTACTTTGCCCTCTCTTAGGACTGGAAGGGGGTGGGGGAGAGGGGGTGGGGGGAGTGGGAGGGAAGTGGGAGGAGGGGAGGAAGTGGAAACTTTGACTTGTATTATTTATAAAGTAATAATAATTTAAAAATATATTTTTTAAATTTCTAAGTATCTGATACAATTTTTTACTCATTCAATCTCTTTTGCTACCTTGGGACATTTTTTTTCAATTATAATTCAGGAGATTTATGAAAGTTTCCAGGGCAGAGCCAGCTTGCAGGATCCCTTCCTATATAGCTTATTTCCGTAGACACGCCCACTCTCTCCAGGATGCAACTCCAAACCAAAGCAAGTTGGATATGGAGCAAAATAAGAAACTCAGAACAGGGCTGGAGAGATGGCTCAGCAGTTAAGAACACTAACTGATCTTCCAGAGGACTTCAGTTCAATTCCCAGCACACATGGCATCTCACAGCCTTCTGTAACTCCAGTTCCAGAGCATTTGAAACTCCCCCACACAATAGATACAGGCAAAACAGCAATGCACATTGAATAAATAACCAACCAAACAAATATATCTAAAAAAGAATTCAAGCCAACCAGCATGATAAAATGTTTCAAAGCAATATTCAGAAATGAATGAAAGTCAGCTGCCTTTTAACTTTTGACTAACAATCTGGTATACATTAAAACAGATAAAGAAATTTCATATTTATATTATAAAATATTCATGAATACACTTAGATTTTCTTCAAAATAAAGCTGTGGAACATAAAGTTATTTGATTATTATTCATTCATTTCCCTCACAAAGTTGAATTCATTTATTTATCTCTGTATTTTTTAATTTCCTCTTCTTGAGGCAAGCTCTCCTACAGCACAGATTGATCTTGAATTTGCTACATGAGGAAGTGTGTCCTTGACCCCCGATCCTCTTGTCCTATCTTCTGAGTGCTGGGATAAGAGGTGTGTGCCATATCCCAGCTTGATTTATTTATTTTTGCAGCAGGGTGCCCCTGCTGTAGAACAGACTGGTCATAAACTGGCAACCCCCGCCTTCTGAATGCTAAATTCCATGTGTGCACTGTCATGTCTGGCCCTGAAATTAATTTAAAAATAAAAGATGCAAACAGTATATAGTGGTACACCTCTTTAATTCTTTTTTTAATTTACTTATTTGCTTTTCTTATGAGGACTTTATCTGCATGTAAGACTTTAAGCCAGCAGAGGGCATCAGATCCTGCTCTAGATGGCTGTGAGCCCCCATGTGGGTGCTGGGAACTGAACTCAGGACCTCTGGAGGGCATCAGATTCTGCTCTAGATGGCTGTGAGCCCCCACGTGGGTGCTGGGAACTGAACTCAGGAGATCTAGAAGAGCAGCAGTGCTCTTAACCTCTGAGCCATCTCTTCAGTTCCCCAGTCTCTTTAATTTTAAAATTTAGAAAGTTGAAGGAACAAGGGTCATGAGGGTCAATTCTAGTCTGGGACATATATGGAAACAATATCTCAAGAAAATAAATGAGTGAAAAAATGAGTATATCTGTGTAGAAAGAATCCCAGTCTCAGCTAGGCAACCCTGACCTGTTTGCATATGTGCAGATAGTAAGATGATAATAGCAGAAGGTAGAACACTTTTTGCTAAAATGTCTTGACTACCTAGGAAATTTTCTGGATGATAATTGCCTTGCCAAAGTAATAAAAACCATAGGACATTACCAGAAACCTTAAAATGAGATTGAAGGGGTACTTAATAAAACATGTGCATATATTTGTATTATTGTAACAACTAGTATTATATGACTCAAATTCAAATATACAATTTTCACATCCTTCATGAGGTGTCAAATACATTTCACCTTTTCTAGAAATTATATTGTTTCCACTTAAGAGTATTACAAGACACAATGGGGGTGGAGCTCAATGTAGATCA